GGGCTCTGTTTTAGCCACTGTTCAATTGCTGAGATGAGACACCATGACCAAGGCAGCTATTATAAAAGAAGGCATTCAATTGGGGACTGGCTTGCAGTTTCAGAGGTTTAGTCCATGATCATCATGGTGGCAAGTGTGGAGGCATGCAAGCAGGAACTGGAGCAGTAGCTGAGAGCTACATCCTGGTCTGTAGACTGAGAGAGAGACTCTGGGCTTGGCGTGGGCTTTCCAAACCTCAAAGCCCTCCCCCCCAAGTGACACACTTCTTCCAATAAGGCCATTTCTCCTAAATCCTTCTAATCCTTTTAAATAGTGCTATTCTCTGGTGACTAAGCATTTATACATGAGCCTAAGGGGTCGTTCTTCAAACAGGCACAGGCCAGGTGTGCTCTCTCTCTCCCTCCCTCTCTCCTCCTTCCCTCCCTCCCTTCCCCTCCCCCCCTCCTTCTCTGCCTTGTGCTTGTGGATCAAATGTAAGTCTCATCTACTGCTCCAGTGCCATGCCTGGTGGTCTACTGCCCCATGTTCCCTGTCTCTTCACAGCAACAGAAAAGTAACTAAGACAGGGAGGCTGAGGCAGGGGATCACAAATTCAGAGCTAGCCTAGACCACACAGTGAATTCTAGGATAGCCTGAGCTACAGAATGCGCTACCATTTCCAAAACAGAACAAAAGATAAATAAAGAAAACAAACTAGCAGAGTGTGCTAAATTAGCAGAGTGCTTGCCTGGCATTTTTAAAGTCCTACATTTGATAGCCAGGTCTGAATAAGCCAGGTATGGTGGTACACACCTGTAATCCCAGAAATTTGGGAGACAGAATGAGAAGGGTCAGAAGTTTAAGGTCATCCTCAGGTACAAAGGCTAGCTGTGGTGTCTCAGATAACACGTCTGGAAAACTAGATTCCATCTTTAACAGTTCAGCCCTGAGGAGGTGCCTCTGATCCAGAGGGGAAGAGAGAATTCTCTTTCTTTAGACCGTTTACTTGATGAATTGTATCAAAGTATACTTTCAATTTTACGTATGTGTGCATGTGTACATGTGTGTATGCAGTTGCACATGTCTGTGCATGGAAGTATGGAGACGTCAGGTATGTGCCTTTTCTCTTTCCACTAGCTTTTTCAAGACAGGGTCTCTTGCTGGTTGGCTAGACCAGCTGTCTCTCTCTGTTCATGAAGGCTGGGGCCTCAGATGAACTCCACAACGGGCAGCTTTTTGCATAGGTGCTGGGGATCAGAACTCCGATCCCAATGCTTGCACAGAAGTATTTTTTCCACTCAGGCATCTCCTCAGCCTTCACCAAAATACACCTTTAAACAATAGGCATTTGTTATTTTGCACAAAGCAAATATATTGATTTAGTTTCATAAAGTCCAGGCATATCATCATACATCAAGATGCATTGGATGAGAGACTTGAGGGACCCGGGAAGTTTGAAGCAAAGAAATGGGAAGGAGTGGGGGGAGCAAGAGTCAGGCATGTGGCATCGTGCCTGTAACCTCAGCACTTAGGAGGCCGGAGGATCAGAAGTTCAAGGTCATTCAGGGTCTCTTGAGACCCTGTCTGCCACCACACTTACACAAGGTAGGAAGAGAACCAAGAGAAGCCTTGCTTTTGTTTGTGACTTGAACAATAGAAATGCACTGGTCTCATGAATCTGAAGACTTCAATTCCAAGATTTCAGCACACCTGTTTTGTTGTTGTTATTGTTTTGTTTTGTTTTGTTTCTATCAAGTCTCTGAGAAGAGTTTGTTCTGTTCTTCCCTGCTGGCTCCTAAAAGTCTGTAGGTAAATCTTTGGTGTTCTTGCTTGGTAGATCTCTGATTTGACGTCACATGATAACATTCTTTTGTAGTTATATCCAAGTATCTCTTTTTATAAGGACACGAGTCATACTGAATTGGAGACCCACTGTTACAATATGACCTCCTCTTTATTAATTGTATTTGCAACATCTCTGTTTCTAAAAGGTCACAATCTAAAACTGGGGTCAGAATTTCTGCACAGGAATCTCATAAAAAATGTGTTAGGAATAAAAATTCTTTTGTCAACTATGTCCTAAGCAAGATCTTTAACACTGAGAATTTTAGTTGGCCCATTTTAGAGACAGTAAGAAAATTTGTAAATTCAATAGACTATTTTCTGGGCCTTGGTTAAACCCATAATTTATACACAGGAATTCTTATAACATTTAAAGAATTTAAACAGTTATTTTTAATGTTTCCCTTTATGTTATATACGGGTGTTTTACCTGCATGTAATGTCTGTGTATCTTGTGTTAGATCCCCTAGGACTGGGGTTATAGATGGTTGTTATAGAATCAAACCTGGGTCCTTGAAAAAAAAAGCTAGTGTTGTTAACCCCTGAACCATCTCTTCAGCCACTACCTATGACAGCTGTCTTTATCTGATGGGAGGTCATTATGGCCCCAGCAGAAACTGGAACAATTCTGTTGTTTGTTGATTCTTTGGGAATTTCACATCACACACCCTAATTCCACCCACCTCCCAGTCCCCCATCTCCTCTCCTCACCCTTAGAGCACACCCCCAAAACAAAATAAAAACAAAATCAAACCAAAACAAGCAAACAAACAACAACAAAAAGCCAAACCAAAACAGAACAAAAACCCTCTTCTCTCCTCCATCTCCCCCGCCTCTCCTGTACCTCTTCATTTGTCCTGGTGGCACTGGGAGCCCTGGTGTGTCACGGTGCACCCTTTTGTCCAATCAGCTCTACCAGCAAATGGTCATTGCGATGAACCAGCCAAATGTTCACTGGTCTGGTTCAAGGCCTGTGGTTTCTGGAACAGTCATCCCTGGATCCTCACAGAAACTCCTCTCGGATATCCTGTGGCCACCCTGAGTCATGCAGACCCTGCAGGCATGTCCACAGGACCAGTCCCTTCAAGAGCTCCAGCAAGTCCTAGACGGGTTCATGTTAGGCTGGGCCAACCCAAGGCCTGGCTGTGGGCCTGGGTGGCAGCTGAGTTGGTCAGTCCAGGCCACTGGGGCTGCCTACCTCAGGTGAGGAGGCAGAGCCAGAGCCAGAGCCCCTGTACCCATACAGTTGATTCTCTCCCCCCTGTGGTGAGGGGTGGGGACATCTCTCTGGAGGGGGTGGGACAGGACTCTCTTGCTGTAGAGTCCAGCGAGGAGCAGGCCCAGCGAGGGCACAGCCTTCTCAGCATGGCCCTCTGATTTTATCACAGGGTTCCTATGGCCCCCTGAAGTGACACAGGCCACAGACACCAACACAGCTACAGCAGGACCCAGACATGGCGCTCAGCAGCAGCTAGCTTGGGCGGGGACAACATCCTGGCTCTGGGTGGAAGCACAGGCCTCTCAGATCAGTATGGTTCTGGCAACAATACAGCCCTGGACACCAACAAGGCCAGAGGTGTGGTCCTAAGCTCAGGCTCCCATGTGGCCTTTGGAGGCAACACGGGCCTTGGACTTCAACACAGACCTCGGCTGGGGTAGGACCACAGACCCAGACATGGTGATTGGCAGCAGCTGGGTCTGAATGTCGCCATTGCTCCAGGTGGCAATGCAGGCAACTCGGTTCAGCAGAGCCCCAGTGGCAGCGTGGTCCTCAGACACTAATATGGTTCCAGACTTTGGTCATCGCCATGGTCTTCAATGGTAACAGAAGCCTCAGATGTCATCAAAGACCCCAGCAGCAGACCAAGAGGCCCTCAGCGGCAGCTCTGGCCCAGACATCACCATGGCATCCGGTGACAACACAAGCCACTCAGATCTGTATGGCCCTGCTGCAGCATGGCTCTTGCCTAGACCCCAGGCTTCTGAATGGCCTTTGGTGGCAACATGGGCCATGGATGTTAACACAGACCCTGACTGCTATAGGGCCATGCATCCTATGTATCTTTATCTCTCTATTTTTTTACATTAATTTTTTTTTTTTGCTCTTTATCAGTGTTTGCCTGCATGCATGTTTGTACACTCTCTCATGTGCACGCTCTATTGCCTGCAGAGGCCAGAAGATGGCGTCAGACCCCCTGGAACCAGCACTGCTGGTGGCTGTGAGCTGATACATGGTGCTGAAAACCCAAGTCAGGGTTCCTAGCCGCTGAGCCATCTTTCCAGGACTTACCTGCTGCAGTTTGCTTACACGGGCATCCCACTGAACAGCACTAGGTTTCTCCCACCTCTTGGATGTAGCAAATAAAGCTGCTATGAACACGCATATGCAAATAGGTTTTCAAATAAAGCTGCTATGAACATGCTTATGCAAAGAGGTTTTCAAAACTCTGCTTTCAACCCATTTGGGGAATCCCCAGAAGTGGAATTGCTGAATCACGGGGTAGGTTTTTTTTTTTTTTAACATTTTGAGGTGCCGCCATACTCTCCCAGGGAATCTCAATTGCGCTATTACATTGAGTTAGAAAGACAGAAGGCGGGGCTGGAGAGATGGCTCAGCAGTTAAGAGCATTGACTGCTCTTCCAGGGGTCCTGAGTTCAATTCCCAGCACCCACATGGCAGCTATCAACTGTTTATAACTCCAAGATGTGACATCCTCACACAGATATATATTCAGGAAAAAGACCAATGCAAATAAAATAAAAGTAAATTAAAAAAAAAGAAAGACAGAAGGCAAGATGGTAGCTGATTCTCAATACATAACCCACACAAACCCCAGGAAATACCTATGCCATCGGCATAGAGAAGAGGCTTAAAGGACTACGTGACACCCAAAGAAAAAACGTGAGATCAGGTTTCGGGCGGTTTCCCTGAGGAGAGGAGGAGGAGAAACAACTACTGGCTAAGCTACATGAGGAGCTAAGTATCTTCTACTGGGTCATATTTATCTGTTTGGTGAAGCTGCAAGTTGTGGGGAGTGTCCTCATTAGGAAACAGCTGATGATTCCAGGAGAACTTGGAAGAATTGCCATGGTGACGGAGAATGACCCATTTTAAAGTGTAAGGCCTATTGTGAGTGGAACTCGAAGAGATTCTTCCAGGAGAACTTTCTTTTCATTTTTGTGTTGGACATCAGATAAGAAATAAACAGCATTGTTACTATATCGGCACTCCTCCTAGCCCGAGGTACCAGGGAGGACCCTAAGTCGCCTTCAGAATCCGGACATGGCTTGGTGCCTCCCTAGCTGTGTGACTGAGGAGACCACTTAAGCTCTTCAGTCTCAGAGGGCTGACTCTGGAGTCACAGAGTGTTTTTCATATGTGGATTACTTCTCTATGGCTATTTTGGCCACTTTTTGTTTAGTGTTCATTTTCTCTGAAACTTGGCTCTCAAGCAGGCTCACCCAGCCAGACCCTGTGGAGAGCGGAAAAAACGAGATAAAAGGTGCCAATGGGCGAGCACATGGGGGGGTGTCATGGCCGCAAGCGCTCCCACTGCTCAGCTTGGACTTCGCACGCAAGGAGATGAGCTGGCTCCACTCGGCTCCACACCCTTCTGTGGTTGGCCCGGGCCGTCTCGTCACGTTTGTTCTTACTTTGTCTTTCTTTTTCTTCTCCTTCAGCTCTCACCCTCTTACCCGTTTCCAGCTGACTCACTTGATGGTATAACTAAGTCACCTTATTTTACACTAACGACAAAAGCCAGCGAGTGGGATGACATTCAGTCTCCTTTTGGCACGCGGGAAAACTGCAGTTTAAAAAGGGCAAGGGGGTCGCTGGGCGTTGGTGGCGCAGGCCTTTAATCCCAGCACTCGGGAGGCAGAGGCAGGCGGATCTCTGTGAGTTCGAGGCCAGCCTGGTCTACAGAGCGAGTTCCAGGACAGCCTCCAAAACAATACGGAGAAACCCTGTCTCGAAAACCCAAAAGAAAAAAAGAAAAAGAAAAAGAAAGAAAGAAAGAAAGGGCAAGGGGTCGATGAAGAGTACAAACTCAATTAGATACAGATTCTTCAGTCTTTAACAGTTAAGAAAACTTGTTTGTGAAGCCCGGTGGTGCTGGCCCTGGATCCTCAGTGTGTGTGTGTGTGTGTGTGTGTGTGTGTGTGTGTGTGTGTGTGTGTGTACAATTGGTCCATACGTTTTTCTGAATTGTCTGTAAGACACCTCCCTTCATTATCCAAAGAGGAGTTGTCTCGTCTGCTTTTGAAGCATGTCCTTCTACTCGTGGACCCTTCGCAGGACTTGAATCGATTTTGAGAAACTGGGATCTTTGTCTCTTTGGGTTTCCTTTCCCTCGGCTACATTTCTCCTGCCAAACAGAGCTGTAATTGTCAGCCCGTGTCTTGACTTTACTGCTTGCTGGTGACATCATTTGAATGCCACTGAGCAGCATTTCCTCTCTGCAGACAGACACCTTTCTGTCCACATTTGCTCTTTCTGCCTGTCATTTGCAAGCAGATGACTGTAGACGGACAGAGGACGCTCCCGACTCCTCGTTTCCGCCCTGGATGGATGATGACCAGAGCAGGTATTTACAGAGCCACAGAGTGTGTGTCTCCATTAAGGGAAATGCATGCAAATTGGCAGCTAGCTGAAGTGACTGCTGTCTCTGGTGTCTCGGCGCAACGTTAATCTGTTAGCGTTGATTGCGTATTTTTTGTGAATCCTGGTGGGGAAGGGTAATCTTTAAGAGAGATGCAGATGGACCAGGTTAAGGCATGGTCAGCTAGGAAGGTTCTTCCCGTGGGCTTTGAGGAGACCATAGGAAGGCCTGACCGTAATGAGAGGGATCAAAAGCAAATTAATAATAATGATGCTGATTATTACACTAATGCCAATAATACTAAGACTGCCAAATGGGTGGGAAGATGGCTCAGCTGGTAAAAGCAGCCACTGTGCAAGCATGAAGATGTGAGTTCACATCCCCAGAACCCAAGTAAAAAGCCAGGTGTGATTCTACACCGGAGTGTAGAAGGGGTTACCCGATGTCCTCCTGGGGCCCCCATGCACAGGGTTACACACATACACATATCAACACACACATATGCCACACCCACACACCATACACAAGCATGTACACATACATAAAAAGTGTTAATCTGTATTGAGGGTTTATCATGTGCCAGATTCTGGGTTTTAATATTTTATATGTACTAACTTATTTAATCTCACCAACTACAGATAAGTACTACTATGCTACTATTCTTATGTTATTATCAACATTTAGACAGACAGTATCTACCATTTATACTATCCAAACTATAGACAATAATTTAACCAAGATACTTTCATCAACAGTTTATAATGAGGGGGAAACTGAGACACAGAGAACTTAAGTAACTTACTTGAGAACACGGAATCGGCAATGATGCATTATATTTAATTATTATTATTATTATTATTATTATTATTTTTGGTTTTTGGAGACAGGGTTTCTCTGTATTGTTTTGGAGGCTCTCCTGGAACTCGCTTTGTAGACCAGGATGGCCTCGAACTCACAGAGATCCGCTTGCCTCTGTCTCCCGAGTGCTGGGATTAAAGGCGTGTGCCACCAACGCCTGGCATATTTAATTAATTATTATTTTTAATCATTGTGGAAATCAAATTCAGGGCCTTATGTATGCAAGACAAATGTTCTGCCACGTTCCTACCTCTGGTGTATGCTTTAAACACAGCGTTCACCAGTCAGTGTGACTTGAGTCCCAGGAGTGGATAGGGCTCAGTCCGAAAAAGGCATTTGAAGGGCGTGGTGGAGAGTGATTGTGTCCCTCCCAGCTCTTGTGTAAGGGTTTGGAACTCACACCAAACAGACGGAAAGAACTGTGGTCCCTGTGGGTAGAGCCAAGTGCAGGAGATAGGGGCAAAATGGCCTAAAAAGTCATATGATGGTCACACCCTGTCCTTGGCATCTCTTCATTATCTTTCTCCTAATTTTCTGGCGGTGGTATTGCATAATTTACATATAACAGCCAGAGATAATTTTCTGCTTAAAACAATTAGTCATATTTTAGATCAGATCCATGAGCAATTTATTCTGTCAGTGGCAGGCTTGCAGAGACACCCTTGCAAGCCACGGATCAAAATCCTTTCCAAAGACCGGGACCCTTAACCCTATCAGATCTTGCTCCGAAATCACAAACCCGCAGCACAAAGGTCACCCGGAGTTCCACCGCAGTGTTTGAATGCAATTTTTTATGAAGTGCCTTTTATTTTGTACTCTGTTACTCTGTAACAAATGAGTCATTGATTTTTCAAAAAATTTAAACGTATCCAGAACATTTTTCTCTTCTTTTTGTTATTTGCTTTGAACAGTCACTCAGAAGCCAAAAGCCAGTAACCCTAAGTACCCCGGCCTGCTTAGCCTTTCTCTATTAGGATCCCTGTGGCTCCTTCGAAGAGTGTGAGCCATGCCATCAGCCAAGGGGCTGACCCACCAGCATGGCCTCGGTTACCAGGCTTTCCAAAACATCGCCCAGCAATTATTTCTGAAAGGCCTGGAAACAACAGTAATGAAAAAAGGAACTTTAGGGACAATCCCAGTTCTCTTTGTGATTTATAAGATGCTTAGGAAATCTTTCCATGTGAGTTTAAGCAGGGAAACTGCCTGGAGCCTCCATTAAACGGGGGGAGGGGAGAAGGGTTTAGGTACTACAGTACCCCCACCCCTGTCCGTTCCCCCCACCCCGCAGTCAAAAACATTCACTTGATGCCAGACTGTTTTCTGATATCCAGGAGTGGCCAACGAGACCAAGGGTAAGGGTGAGAATTCATCAGGGGTTTTAAGGCATTCCAACAAACTAAAAAACAAACAACTTGTGAAAGAAAGGGGAAAGAAATGGGTGGGGGGTAGCGCTGGTTGGATAGAGCGCCCCCATGTGTCTCAGTACCACTTTGTCACTCAAAGGGCAAAGAGCGCTTTTTCTAACCGCTGTTCCAATGCCATCAGGAAGCCTTCTCTTCCTTCACGTTTAGTTTTAGAGCTACACATGAAGTTCCTTCTTCATTTTTTAAAAAGAATTTTATTATATTCACTTATGTAGTGTGTACCTGTGGAGGCCTGAGGACAAGCTTGCAGGAATCGGTTCTCTCCTGTCATGTGGGTTCTGGGGATTGAACTTGGGTCTTCAGGCTTGGCCCTTTCCCACTGAAAGCATCACACTGGCCTAGGTTCCATCTTCTTTCATGGGGTGTTAGTTTGAACTTCAGGAGTGATACATTTTATGAGAAACTGTAAACATAAAGTGTCTCATTTCTAGGGTCTCCTGGTAGGCAGGCTCAATTAACAATTGCTTGTTGTAATTCCAGTGTCTTACCCAAATTGGAAATAGCACAAATGCCTATCAATGAATCAATTAAAAAACTGGGTCCCTCTATGCAGTAGATACGAGTTGCTAGTAAAAAAGATATGCACTATTGTTATAGACAACAGCAAGCTGCAAAGGATGAGATTTGTGTATGTGAAATTCTGCAATGCAGATGCCAGACGGTCACCAGCCAAGGACTTGGGTTCAAGCGGAGTAGGAATGGCTGTATAGGAAGCTAGAACCCACAGATGTTCTGTATCTTACCTGATGTCCAGAGATGTTCTGTATCTTACCTGATGTCTAGAGATGTTCTGTATCTTACCTGATGTCCAGAGATGTTCTGTATCTTACCTGATGTCCAGAGATGTTCTGTATCTTACCTGATGTCCAGAGATGTCCTGTATCTTACCTGATGTCCAGAGATGTCCTGTATCTTACCTGATGTCCAGAGATGTTCTGTATCTTACCTGATGTCCACAGATGTCCTGTATCTTACCTGATGTCCAGAGATGTTCTGTATCTTACCTGATGTCCAGAGATGTTCTGTATCTTACCTGATGTCCAGAGATGTTCTGTATCTTACCTGATGTCCAGAGATGTTCTGTATCTTACCTGATGTCCACAGATGTCCTGTATCTTACCTGATGTCCAGAGATGTTCTGTATCTTACCTGATGTCCAGTACCTGACTATGTATAGCACTCAAAACTCATAAAGCTAGTATGATGCTAAGTAAATCTGCCTTTGAAAGCTCATGGAGGAGCTAGATAGAAGGCTCGGTGGTTGGGAGCATTGGCTGTTTTTGGCGAGAACACGGGTTTGACTCCCAGCACCCACATGGCAGTCAGCATCATCCATAACTGTAGTTCCATGGGATTCAGCACCTCTTACGGCCTCACCGGGCACCAGGAATGCCTGTGATGCAGAGATGTGCAGACAGGCAAGATGCTCATACTCAGAGACTACAAGCAAATAAGTCACTCTTTAAAATCATGGAATTTTATATTTTAAAAAGCTGAGGTTTACGATATAAAATTACACCTCAACAAGCTTTGTAAAAATGTTCAAATTCATGAGAACATAACCCTTTCAGGTTACCTTCTTGGCCTCCTTCTCATCCCCCCTCTGAAACAGACACCCGGTGAACTCTCAGACAGTCTCAGCTCAACACAAGGCCCCGAGGGAAAGGGGGGTGGCCGACTGCATTCCAAACAGCCTGTTCCGCCTCTGCCCTTCTGGGACAGGGACACAGAACCTCTGTGGTATTTGGATAGTGAAAAGGACAACATCAAAGTTCCAAGCAAGTGCTAACCCTTCCTCTTGTAATCTTGAGTACTGCCCTTGAGTCTGGCAATGGGGTCTGGACCCTGAAAAAAAAATCACGCTGTCTTTGTGCAAGACAGCAGCCCTCCTGGCTAGAGCCTGTACTTTGCACAGCTCATCTAGGAACGTCTGGACTGATTCTCTGCCCCAGGCAGAATCTGAGGATGGATCCTGGCAAACGACTTTGGTTCCCACAGTCCTAAATATGTTCTTCCTTGTTCCTAAGGTCAGTGACGGACAAACAATGATCCAGGCCAGCGGTTCTTAAACTTCTGGGGCTCTAGAGACACCTGAGGAGTGTATTTCTAAATGCATGTTCCCAGTACCCACTTGCATCCTGAGGTTATAGTAGGAGTGGACTAAGAGTGGTCTTTGAACTCTGCACCCCGGGAACACACTTTAAGAAATGATGATCTGGGCTAGGGAGATGACTTATGAAGTGTTTGCCATATAAACATAGAGACGAGTTCAGATCCCCAGCACCCATGTAAAGAAAACAGGTGTGTGCATGTGTTCCCTGGGATGACTGTATTGGTAGCCTACTGGTGTGCTCTTTTCTGGAAGGCGATTCCTCCCACTCAGCATTTCTTAGTTCTTTATGTAGCTGAGGCCTCATGGACTGGTCCCCCACCTATGGTAGCACATCTATTGGTACTGTCCTTGTCCAGCTCGTGTTTAGGTAGTCAGAGCAGGTTGTATATATATAGTTAGAAATATACAGGAACACACACACACACACAACATGTACGCCTGTGTGCATGTGTATGTAACAACAATTAATGAAAAAAGAGGACATGAGTTTGAAAGAGGCCAAGGAGGGATATACGCAAGGGTTTGGACTGATGGGAGAAAAAGGAAGGAGGAAATAATGTAATTACAGTCTCAAAAATAGAAGAAGTCATTAAAAAAAACAAACCAAACACCAAAAAGCTAGGTGTGATGGTGTGTGGTAGTACCACCACTCTGGAGACAGAGGAAGGAGGATCTCTGTGAGTTCCAGACCAACCTAGTCCACATAGCAAATTCCAGGCCAGCCAGAGCTACAGTGAGACCCTGTCTTAAAAAAAAAAGAAAGAAAGAAAAATGAAGGAAGGAAGGAAGGAAGGAAGACAAAAACCAGGTGCAGAATCAGGCATCTGAAATCCTCATTCAGGGAAGTGGATCTGGGATCCTGGGAATTTGCAGGCCAGCAATTCTAGATAAAACAGTGAGGCCCAGGTGTAGTGAGAGATCCTATCTCAGAAAATAAGATGAAAAAAATGATTAAAGAATACCCTGGCATCTAACTCTGGCCTCCAAGTATGTATAAACACAACCCAGATAGAAGAAACAATCTAAGGAAAAGAAAATGACAGTCTATAAATCGGAAACATCTGACCCACCAAGAAGTCGGGTAGCACAGTGATTGAGAGTGGGTTCAAGAACTTAAGTTCAAAGTTCTCCTCCAATCTTATCCTGGGGTCTTAGCCAGCTCCCGGAATCTGTTGCAGAGCTTGTATTCGAGGGAGTAAGATCAAACGAGCCAAACTCATGGAATACTTACAGTAAGCACCAGTAAGCATTAGATAAATATCATTATCATTCTGTCTGGATCAATAAAGGCTGAAGGGAATATCGCAAACCACGAACAAAGGCAGTCACTTCAAAGAGCTTTTCACCCAAAGCTTAGGCATCTCCGGAGACTTGAAGTGGGGGAGGGAGATATCACCGCTTCACGCATGGCAGCTTCCCTGCACTCCAAACATCTCGTTCTGTTTACATGTTAAGATAAAACTGAAAAAATATACAGGCTGGGCTTAACTGTGCCCCATTTTGATTGACTAACGAGCCCATGACAACTCACATATAGAAGCCAGATCATCTTTATAAGTCACCTTAATCTCTGGTGATACTTAAACAAAACTGCAAACCAGAATCACATGTACGGCTTTTGAAAAGTGCGCCCTGGCTCAGTAAAGATTAGGGCGAGGCCAGAGGCTCTGGATCTGTTTGACGTTCCCTCCATGCTTTGGCTGTACATTCTAGGAAGAGAAGTGCCCCATTTGGATGAGAGCTGGCATCATTTGTCTGTTTAAAAGATGTATAGAAGCAGTTGGGCATAATGATGAGTGCTCATGGTCCAGCTATTTAGGAGGCTGAGGCAGAAGATGGATTTAGCAACCTGTGCAACATATTGAAACTGGGTCTTCAAAAGGAAACAAAACCCACTCACAAAAACCAACCAACAAACAAAAACCCAAAAAAACTCTTAAGAATCAGGGACCAAACATGTTAAATAACTTGGCTGAACTTCATTTAGCAAATCATTTGCAGAGGCAGGAGTTGGAATTTTGTTGGTATAGTCAGAAAAAAAATTTTTTTAAAAAGCAACCAAATTGGTTCCTGTACTGAATACACGTAGACTTCTTTTTCTTGTTATCATTCCTTAAAATATACATTATACTTAGCTATGTATTTGTATTGCAGCTCCTTACATTGTGTTAGATATAATAGGTAATACAAAGATGATTCAAAGTAAATGGAAGATGTGCGGAGTTCATTTGCAAATATTATTCAATGTATACACAAGGCTTGAGCATTTGCAAATATTATACAATGTATACACAATGTGTACACAAGACTTGAGAGCCTGCAGACTTTGCTACCCAGAGGGCATCCCTTGCTGATAGCAAGGAAACGCTGTGATTACAAGAGTACTACCCTCTCCATTATAGTTTATATACTGTAAGTTACTTGTGTAGGCCAGGTAAATATTGGGGCTCCCCCTCCTTATCTGTCTATGAAATCATATTGGGACTGAATAGCTGCGAGCACTGATTGCTGGTTTGGGATTCTGAGTTCTTTTCAGATTCCATCCTTTATCTTTCTGTCCATGTATCTCTGTTTACTGATTATCGCCACTAAGTCCCTGGAAGTGTAAGGGAGAGTTTCTCCTGCAGATCCTGGATCAGATCCCTGAGGGAAAGATAACCAAGTAATGAGAACTTGTCCTTCTCCATTCTTAGGGCCTTCAAGGACCTTAAAGAACCTCCAAGGACCGTGTAGTTTCATCATGAGCAAATCTAAGATAAACTGGCCCATGAAACTGGGAAAATGAGGATCCCATTAGACCACGAACATAAGATTAGTATCCTGTGAACCAGCCACAAATCACGGAGACACGGATAAGACAAACACCCAAAAGGTCGGTCTAGTGGCTCTTGGGCAATGACATTTAGGTGGCCTCTGGGTTGAAGTTCTTGTGGATTGATTCCCTTTTCATCTTAAAAACTCATGTGACCTATGAAGTCCCTTAGGATCCATTTCCCTTAATGCACTAGCGGAGAAGAAAATCTGTCACAACAAAGTCTGCCGTGGAGGCTGGGGGTGGGACAGTGCCAGGACTTTCACAAGACAGCAAGTACTCCGCGGAAGCTGAGCCAGGCAGGCAAATTAGGGCAGTGTCATTTCACATGCAAAATGGCCTGGCAGGCTGGAGTTTCTGCCCCAGGGCCTTCGCACAGCCCCTAGCTCATAAAACAGCCCCGTTATTTAGTTACTTCTTGGCTCTGGCACTGGCTGCTTCCCTTTCAGATTTCCTGCTGGTCGTTTTTTTCAACATCCCGCCTTTGCATTCTCCTCTGGGGTTTTGCAAAAATACTGTTTCTTTTTTCCTTTTCAGAGCTCTCTTTTAATCAGATGGCTCCTGCCGGCATGAGATGCCAGAGGTATTCCTTTCAGTAGATTCCGGCCTGTGCTGCATCACCTTGGCAACAAGATTCAGAGGCAGAGCCCTGGCCTTGAGCTTGTCGGAGTCTCCAACTAGGAGACCTGCAGCCCCTCTCGCTCTCCGGAACGGCAAGTTGTCATGCCAACCATTAACTATAAAACCCATCTCTCCCTTCTAGGGTTTTAATTCAATAACTTTTCAAATTGGTTCCTTGTGTAATTCAATTGGCTTGGAAATGTAATAAACGAGTGTATGTGCACACATGTGTGTTTTTAGCCTTCCACTAAATGACCCACCACTGGAAAAACAATTGGGGTCAAAAGTTCATCAAAAAAGTAAAATAATAATGATGATGATGATAAAGTAGCTCTCAGTCTAATAAGAGGAACTTTAAATTTTGGAAATCCTGGCCAGTCGGTAACTAAACAAACACTGAAGAGGCGATCTTTGCCTCAGATCCACGTGCATGGCGTACTTCTGTTGGCACAGTTGCGTCTCTGGCTTGGTACCTGGAGTAGCTAGACTCCTCTGTGTGCGTGCAGAACTCTTCCAGCAGCTTTGAGTACACAACTTATTCCGAGTTCTTGAAAGAACTCATCTATGTTCAACTTCACATTTCGTTTCCTTCCTAATCAGAAATTTCTGTAGGAATTCACCGTCTTAGTCTTTTGACTCCGGTGACCTTCAAGCAGGGATTGTGTGGAGTCTAGGAGCTGGAAAAGCTAGGGGACAGTTCTCAAAGGTCCTCGTTTTGGTATGTCTGTGTCCTTAGGCGTCGCACGAGTGTTTGTTTACGTTTCTTCTCCTTTAAGAGACTTATTTCGGCTTATATCCTATGCTGGATGCTCTCTGCTCTTCTGGACCCTCTCCACTGGGGGACGGCTCTAGTTTTCAGCAAGCAGTGATTACAACTAGGCATTGGTAATCAGAGACACTGCAGTACCCCAGCGACCACTGGAGGCGCGGGATATTTGTACACTGTGTGACAATGGATTGTTGTGATTGGTGTAGTAAAAAGCTAAACAGCCAATAGCTAGGCAGGAGGCATAGGCAGGACTTCCGGGCAGAGAGTGAACTCTGGGAAGAAGAAAGGCGGGGTTGCCAGCAGATGCCGAGGAAGCAGGATGGGCAGTATGGAGACGGCAAGGAGACAATGAAGAGGTTGGACGTGTGGTACAGCGTAGAGGTAACCATCCCACGTGACAGAATGCAGATTAATATAGATGGCTAATTTAAGTTATAATAACTAGTTGAGAACAAGTCTAAGCTAATGGGGGATCTTTCATAATTAATAATAAGAGAGTCTCTGTGTCATTATTTGCAGGCTTGTAGTCCCAACAAAAAGCATGACTTCACAGGCCATTATTTTTATCATCTCAGTTGCAAGAGGCAGAGGAGTTAGGTCTCACGTACTTGGGCTCAGCAGTACGCCCAGTGCTTGGGCTGATTGATGGGAGACGTCTGTAAAGATTTCTTTGCTTTCTACTTTTTGTGTGTTTTAGAGACAGTCTCATGGACCCTAGGCTGGACTCCAGTTTGTAACATAGCTAAGGATGATGTTCAACTCCAGATCCTCCTGCTGCCATGGGCCAAATGCTGTAACTATAGGTGGACATCACCACATCTAGTTTTATGTGGTGCTGGGGATTGAACCCGGGGCTTCATACACTTGTGGGCAAGCATTCTCCCAGCTGAGCTATAGTCTCTGCCCTCAAATTCTTCAGGTCTAGTAAGTTTCAAGATAAATATGTAATCAATGGGTAAGGACTTGCTGTAGCAATGATGTCATAGACAATTTATGACTGTTGCCTGATATGGGCTTTGAGTAGAATAAATGAGTGGTTACTTCAATTACTCAGTTGCGATGCTGATTCAACACGGGTGAAGGCTCACAAAGTCTCGCCGTATCTGTGTTGTGAAAGCCCTGAGGCCCCGGCAGGGTGGCTGCAGACCCACATGGTCACACCAGGGATCTGGTAGTAAGCCAGCCGGACCCTTTAACCCTCTCTTTCTCGTTGCCACCGTGCCCGTGTGTGGTGACTCTCACCAGCTGTGGTTAATGCATTTCTATTAAAAACAGCAACTATTGCAACTTCCCAGAGATTGAATTTGTGCACGTGAATACTTCTTTTCCTTTAGAGATGAAAGTAAAACATTTACTTTCAACGCCAGAATCAATTTCCCTCTAAGGGATATAAGCCTTGGTGCGTGAAAGATAGCAGTGAAATATGTGTTTCTCCAAACAGTAAATCTTATTTGCTCAGATTCTGTCTAGTCTTGTACAAACAGGTCCTAGGTGCAGAGGCACAGTTAAGCTCCAAGAAGAGATCATTCAAAAGGAGGCCCACTCTGTGGGAAGCTCGATTGCTTCTAAGCAGGTCGAGCCCGCAGGAGATACAAATGCATCTTTGCAATCAGCTAAGCAATGCGCACTTTGTGAATACCTACTGTGTGCCAGACACTGTGCCAGTTTGTGGGAGATTATGCAAAGTCAGACTTCATTGCTTTCATTGAAAAAAAAACTGTATTAGTCAGTTTTCTGTTGCTGTGATAAAACACCATGACCAAAAGCAACTTAAAGAAGAGACACTCAATTTTAGCTTATGGTTCCAGAGGGACAGAATCTTCATGATGGGGAGGGTATGACATGGTGGCAGGGACAGGAAACTAGGCAGGGGTGGGGGGAGAGGTAGGGCGAGGGAGGGAGAGAGGAAGCAAGGAATAGGGGGTGAGGTTATGTGTTTCAAAGCCTAACCTAGGGGACACACCTCCTCCAGCAAGGCTCACACCTTAGAGGCTCCATAACCTTCCCAAACAGCAGCACCAATTGGAGGCCAGGTAATCAAACCTCTAAGCCTATGGGAAAACATTTATCATTCAAACACCATAATTATGCACATTTGTTATTTGTGTGTACAGACCTGCAGCCGCTATGCGATGGCATGTGTGCAGCAGCCAGAGGACAGCTTGTGAGAGCTGGGATAGCACTCAGGAGGGGCGGCAACCACTCTTATCTGCTGAGCCGGTTTGCTGGCCCAAATGTGAATAAATTAACACTGTGATCTCAACTGCTGAGTCATCTCTCCATCCTAAAGAGAGTAGATGATTCTCAAGAACTTGCAAGTGTTTCTGAAAGGTACTGCTCCGGTCTTGCCGACAGGGACACTAATTGATTAATGATGCTGATTATTGTGCTAATTTTACAAATAACTTTAAATGAAACATGATACTTTAGATTGCATCCTGAATAAAATGAGTTTAGTCAATAACAATGTACCAGGGTTGGCTTTCTGTCACAACAGATGAATCATGGTAATGTTGTTAACATTAAAAAGGGGCATATGGGAATTCCAAATTACCTCTGTAACTTTTCTGTAGATTAAAATCTTCCCAAAGTGAAAAAGTTTACTGAAGCAATTCTTACACACACATGTGGTCCATTCTCTGAGAACCCTATCGACAACAGTGGAAGCTGTGGAACGATACTCCTGTTGGCACAACGCCCTAGACATGTGTTCACCACAGGTGTTAAAGTAGGTATGGTTCTTATCTTCGTAGTTATTATCTTCACAGTTTCCACTGTGGCTCATTGATTAAGCAATGTGTCCATAGATGCACAGATAGTAACGGACAGAGCCAGGACTTGACAGGGGCTATGCCAAAGCCCAGACTCTCTGTGACTCCATAGACACTCTGTCTGCGTTGCCTTTTTGAGCCTGATTTTCTCTCTCTGTGTCTGTCTTTCTTTCCTTCCTCCACCACCCCCCCTTTTTTTATTTTGTTTTTTCAAGACAGGGTTTCTCTATATTGTTTTGGAGGCTGTCCTTCCTGGAACTCACTCTTGTAGACCAGGCTGGTCTCGAACTCACAGAGATCCACCTGCCTCCACCTCCCAAGTGCTGGGATTAAAGGTGTGCGCCACCACTGTCCAGCCCTCCTTCGTTTTTTTGGGGACAGGGTTTCTCTGTGTAGCCCTGACTGTCCTGGAACCCTCTTTTACACCATGCTGGCCTCAAACTCACAGACATCCACCTGCTTCTGCCTCCTGAGTGCTGGAATTAAAGGCATGTGTGCCACAGCCAGATTTTTAATTATCATTATCATTATCATTATTATTGGTTTTTTCCCTCTGTGTTTCTTTTTGTGGCAGGAGCTCCATTTGTTCAGACTGGCACCCATCTTTCAGCTGAACTGGTGAGACATGGAAACTGGACTATTTGCATGGGCTGGAGGGATGGCTCAGTGGTTAAGCGCACTTGCTGCTCTTCCAGAGGACCCGAGTTTGATTCCCGGTACTTATGCTGTAACTTCACCTCTGGAAGATCTGACCCCCATGTTTGCTTGCACAGGCACCTGAAGTCATGCGATCGTCCTCTACATAAATACATAATTAAAAGCAAAGATGAATCTTGAGAAGAGGAAGAGGAGGAGTGGGAGACAGAGGACAAAGAGTCCTTCCAAGGAGCGTGGGATATCTTTGGCTCTCAGCACGGCCTTTCCCCTCGGCTCCTTTACCTACCCTATGCTCACGTTGGGTGTTTGTTCTGACGACCAATCACCTCCCACTGGACTTTCCCCCCGAATAGCTTACTTAGAAATGGAAGTGAGCAGCACACTGCATCATGGGGCAGACATGGTACATGGTTCAGAATCAAGAAAGGCTTTGTCAGCAGATGGAGTGTATGGGAGTCCTACATCAGGGCATTTAGAGAATGTGGAGACAAACTAAGTGACACTATTTTATAGTTAGATATTTCCTAATGACCTAAGGAACTCTCTCTCTCTGCCTCTCCCCCTCCTTCCTTCCCTCCCTCCCTCCTCTCCTCCTCCCTCCCTCCTCTTCTCCTCCCTCCCTCCTCTCCTCCTCCCTCCCTCTCCCCCTCCCCCATACACACACATATTTGGCATCTGCAAACCAGAGCCCCAAAAATGATTTCAATTTTTTCCGATCTAAGCCAGGTGGTAGTGGAAGTACATGCCTTTAATTCCATCACTGCCGAGGCAGAGTAGTTGGATCTCTTTGAGTTTGAGGCCAGCCTGCTTTACAGAACTGATTCCAGGCCACAGAAAGAAATCCTGTCTCGAAAAACAAAACAAAGTTCAGTCTATAAAATCTGAATCATAGGTTTCTCTAATACTAATAAGCAAGAATTTAATAATTACACATTATATAGTAAATATATCCCATAATATCATAGTGCACATATTATGTGACATATAATAAGCAAAAGTGGCATTGCATATCAATAATTAAGCTGT